CTAGATATATTCTTTTTTAAATTGCATATTTATTGAATAAATAAGTTTTCTATCATTGTAGTTCTACAATGATAAATTAATTTAAGTTAAAATTTAAAAATTAAATTAAAAAATCTTTGTGGTGTAATACAAATTTTTACTGCTAATGATGCAGTACAAACTTCAGATTCCTGTAAGCCTTCTTCCCAGCACGTGCAAGTCCCCTCATTCTTTCAGGTCGATCTTAGGGTCAGCTTTAACCTCCCCTTTCTAATTTGGGTGTGGATCATGCATTCTCTGCAAGGCTTGTCTAAAATCAAACAATAAAGCTGCAGATGACCCTAGCTTGAATCATACCTAGGTATTTTGAAGAAACTGAGACGAGAAGCTGATAAGCAATTTAATTTTGACTTAGCATAAAAGTTCAGACTGAGCTTAGATTTCTGACAGCACAAACTGAATTGGCTTTGTATTTCTCTGAATGCTTGCAGTCTAGCACCTACTTATGCACTGCCTACCTACCTATGTGATGTTCTCTAAGTGTTTCTTGGTTTATGTTTGTCAAGCGCCATTCCGTAGCAGATGCTCTAGAAACACGTTAGCTGACACAGTGTGCACTGATGAGGATCGTGCCTATCGTAAAACCAGAATGCAGAACCCCATTAAGATTTTCCAAGGTCACTATCATCATCCAAAGCTTGAAAATAATTTGTAGGCTGGTCATGGTTATACTTATTTTTAACTGATTAATTTCATACTGAAATTGTCAGTTTTTAACTCAAAAAAGTACTAAAAGAACAAAAGAAAATGAAATTATGTAATGTCGGGGCTGGGGATTTAGCTCTGCGGCATAAGCGCCTGCCTTGCAAGCAGGCAGTAGTGAGTTCGATCCCCTATACCGATAAAAAGGAAAAAGACAAAAAAAAAAAAAAAAAAAAAAAGAAAGAAAGAATTATATAATGTCCTACTGTGACAAAAATCATGTTTTACTACCAAAAAAGGTTTAAAAAACAAAGACATTACCTCATCCTGTCTTTCACACCCAATGCTAAGCAACTCCCTTGAAAACTGAAAAGTTCAGCCACTTATCTGGATATTTTAGTTTTTCTCATAAAACTGATACATAGAACATGCTTAGAATTCTATCGCTGCTTAGTTGTCAGTCAAAAAGTCATTGTTATCCATAAATATGATGTCATATCAATGCATAATAAACCTTCCTGTCAATCAAAAGTATTGTTATGTATAGACTTATGTCAGACATTTTAGATTTTCCATTGAGACGTGAAGTGAATGCAAATTAATGAAAATTTAAAGATGGCATGGCCACAGGCAAATATATTTTAATAGAATTAGACTTTACAGGAAAATTGACACTCAAGCAAAAACACAAACTGAAAGTAAGTACAGTTTTCTAAACAAAACCAGTTGAAGGAGGAAAGAAAATTATAATTTTATTATTATGTGGGCATATTTTCCATTTACACAAATCCACTCATTAGAATTCTATAATTGAGAAAGGAAAAATAGTAAGTGATATAAGATGCTTAGGCAAGCTTGTCTCACTTTGCACATTTTCGAATAACTGCAAAAAAGAAATTTAGGCTTAGGGCAGTTAACTTTCAAAGGAAGCATCTGTCTGGCTAATATATAATGTATATTATAATAATGCTTCCATCTGAAAATTTAAAATCCGTGGTTCTTATCACTGCTTTTACTGAAGGAGGCTGGCATTTGGAGCAAGGCCCCTATGAAAACATTATGCACCTGGTCGTCTGAGAGTTGTTCCCCAACACCTCTGTTTAGGTATTCTGTTAGTCATACTATTGCTATATGTTGTGAAAACAAGAATTGAGGTAGAAAGCACAGAGCTCTGGGCTCTATGCACATACCCTGTCTAATCCAAGTAGCACTGAAACTTGATTCTTATAAAATTCAATATATAGCTTCAGTCATTTAATCTCTCTGACTCAAGTTCTTCATTTACAAACATAAAAAATTGAAAATAAATTCATTTACACTGAACGTATCTTGAACATCTTTTATGTTCTAAATACTGTGATAGAGCGATGAACTAGAACAAGTTTCATTTAGAAAGTGGGCTTTGATAAATTCTTATTTCATTGTAGGTGGAGTAACTGCTCTAGAAAAGCAAATTTTGGGTTGCATAACAAAGAAATCTTATATGATCAAAGCCAGAGTCAGAGGTGAGTGGGTGGGTAGAGTAGGTAGTAAAGGTATCAGTAACACTTGGGTTTGGAGAGGTTCACTTGATGATTATAAGAAAAGCACAAAAAACAGCATAGAATTATAGAATTATAGAATTATTGATTGTAGAACATCAGTGAGTATCTCAGAGTTAGTATCACAGATACTTAAAAATATGTTGAATGGACTCCCTTTAGAGGATTTTCATAGCCCGAATCTACTCCAACAATGAAATAATTTGGGGGTAAATGTGAGCTGTAAAACTCCAAGAAGACAGGGCCACGCTGCCCATGCTGCCTTGTTCACTGTGCTGAAAGGCCTGCCTTACGGAGATACTAAATAAACACAGAAGGCGGCTAAACTGCACAAATGGATTGTAATCATTCGATGTCATAGATGAGAAAATAAGGCCTAGAGAAATTGCTGTAAGGTCATAGGCCACAAACTAGTACAATCAAACCTGGAAAACAGGGATCCTGTCATCTACCAGTAATGGTGAAATTTGTGAAGATAATATATAATATTCACTGATTAATGACTGAAGGGTAAGACTAACAGAGGTCTCTAGAGATTTTCTTTTCAGGATAAAAATCAGTTTTACAGTAATGTATATTGCTTTTTTTTTACAGTAAGTTTCTTCTGCGGGTTTCATCTCCCCACTCCTAACATAAGTTAGAGTAGAGTCTAGTGACTAAGTATGGAACAAGGGTATCAATTAATGTCAGTTAATATTGAATGCTTTGTAATGATCAAAAGAATGGTAATAGGGGAAATATCATTTTCTCTAGTAGAGCAAAACGTGTCAGAGGGCTGCAGATTTAGCTCAGCGGCATAAGCACCTGCCTGGAAAGGCGTGGTTGTGTTTGATCACCAGCATCAAAAAAATAAAAATAAAAACAAACAAACAAAAAGGGTCAGAGACAGTGGAGATATTTTTCTTAATGTACGCAGTGGAGATATTTTTGTCATACTGGACATATTTTTCTTAATGTGCAGCTAAGAATAGAAGCTCATATGCATTACCACCTACTGTTATATAGCAAATTACTCTAAAACCTAGATGTTTCCATGGGTTATGTCATAGGTAAGACCAATAATGGTCTCTAGAAGAGAGACCTGGCACTGAATTTTGACAGAAGTCTGTAGTTCATCACTTGTGGATCTCCACAGGGCACCATGGTGTGGCAGTCTAGCATCTCACCAAGGGACTGGTCTTCAAATAAGCCAGGCAGAAGTTACAATATTTTTTGTGAACTAATCTCAGAAGAACAACCCCATCATTTCTGCAAGACTGTAGTAGATTGTTCCGCATGGAGGGATGATAGGAAGAGAGAAGAAATTTGGGAAGCATGTTGAAAGCCATATTGAATCCTGGCAAACACACTGCCCAGGGCTCCACACGCTTTCAGGAAAGAAAGTAGACGGTGAGCTCAAAGTGCAAGGAAAAAATGTCTCTAGTATCTCAATAGCTGCATTTGCTTGATAAATATAATAAAATTCTAAATACCAACCCTCCACAAGAATAAAACTTTCATTTATTTATAATTTTGTAAAGCAAAGAAGCTATTAAAGGTTCTTAATTTGTATTCAAATAAACAAGCAAAAGTCAATTATAACAAGGAAGCGTTAAATGCAGAAAAAACTCTTTCCTAATATCAAAAGACTTACAGTACATGTGAGTTCGAAAACATTTGTATTCAGAAGGGAATATAGATGTTGGCTGAATTTTTTCTGAGAATATCTTCATCCTGCTGACTGATTCACAAAGAGATGTTGATAATACAACCAGAGATGGTCACAAACTTCCACTTGCTAGACAGCAAAGATATGTTCCATGACAGAAAGAGAGACAGAGAAGAGTATTCTAGACCGAAAGGTGGACTGTGCTCACCCCGAGACCCCTGGAGCTACTCACCACCAGACAAACACTTAAGAACAGCCTCTTCACACAGGGCAAGGCATTTAGACCGTGTGGAAGCGACTCACCACTGAGTGCCTCTGTGGGAAACCTGGTTTAATCCCTAGGACGGGCATTTCTTACTGTCCTGACGAAGTGTACATTCTCGTGGCTCCCAGCCAAAAACGAAACATTCTTTACAGTAGGTCAGAGCCAAATGACAGCTCCCAGGAGCTTTGCGGTGCCACATGCATGTGAAGGACAACAACCTGCTTACAGAAGAGGTGCCTGCATCCTCAGAAGTTTAGAATGAATTCCGTAGCTGGCACGAAGTCCGAGACAGTTGTTTTACCTTGACTGAACTGTTGAATTGAGAATTTAGCCAGGCATTTTGACTTGGTGTTCTATTTTCCTTACAGATTTGGATAGGGTGAAGGGAAGGGAAAGAGGAAAAGGAAGGAAGAGGAGAGGAGGGAAAGAGAGAGAAAGAGAAAGAGAGAGGGGGAGGGAGAGGGAGAAGGAGAGAAGAGAAATTGATTTTCTTGAACCATAAGAAAGAGCCATGAACTTATGTGAGGGGTGCAGTGGGAGTCGCATTTATAAAGTGAAGGAGGATGAGAGCGTACGGCTCACTGTGAGAAGGGACTCCTCCTACCTGTCGGGTACAGGCCAGCTCTACTGTACTTTACTGCCCTACACATGCTTCCCCCTTTCTTGCTTAGACCTTTGCTCATATGTCCACTAGCTCTTACCAGCGTTATGTGTAACTTAGCTAAGTCCTATCAAACTTTAATAGCTTAAATGTCAACTCTTCCATGAGTGTCCAGCCCAACATATTAATACTTCTTTTTTTGAACTCTTAAAAGCGCCTGTCCTTCTGCACTCCTCATTTGATTCATGATTTTTGACAGAGGGATGTGTTAGACAAAAATGATAAATTTATTAAATAAACATTTATTGACATCTATTTTTTTTTGCATTGGGAACACAAAGATGGTTAATCACAGACTTTACCTAGCAAGAACTATTTTATCACAATGACAGATGTGTATCTTACACCTTAATGTCATGAATTCTACAGTAGAAATACAGACTAGCAAAACAAGAAAAGGGAGTGATTGGTATTCATATTTTAGTTTAATAGACACATATAAATAAATGACTCTTGCCAGGGAGTGTTCTAAGTGCTATGTAAACATTAACTTATTTATGTAACAATTCTATAAGGTACATATTATCATCCCCCATAAATAGATGATTAACAGGCATTCTTAGGCAGCTAGTAGGTAGCAGAGGCTAGTCACTGCGGCTTTATCGACCACTGATCAGTGTCTTAGCTATGCTATTTCTCGCATAAACAGCCCTGATACCAGAACTCCCCTTATAAAAAATCTTAAATAGCTTTCTATTTTAATTCTTAGGTCTTGACTGATATAGTCAGAATATTAGCAACCCAGCATATTACTCAAAAAAAATATATAAGGGAAAAAGGTATGAATTTATCATTGATGAACAGAATACAGGTAAAATTTGAATAATATTTACTCAACCTTTAAAAATTCTCTTTATGCTTTGCATAATTTATTGGTAGAGTGGCATATACATAAATGATATATTGTGTATTAAATGTAAAAAAATTAAATCAACATACTTATAGTTATATAATATTTATAACTTACATATCTATATACTACACACAAATACATATTTATGCATGTCATAAATATGCCATAAATTATGTATTATATTAATATACTTAAATATATATAATATATATTTTGAGATATTCATTTCCAAAACACTGTTTCTACTGATAGGGTATTCATGTGAAAACTTTAAAGTATCTAAAATAAACATGCATTTAGTTAATATTGATATAATACAAACAAAGCATATTCTTGCAGCATCGTCCCTTAGCAATAGGCCTTGGGGGGTAGGAGCTCATAATAGAAGCATGTTACGACGGCTTCAGAAAACGATTTGACTTATGTGGGCTGAATGACTTCTGAGACTTCCACAGTTGGTTTCATTTTACTCCAGACATAGTTTAACTAAATGAAGTATTCTAACCTGGAAAAGAAAGAAAAAAATGAAGCGGGGGATGCGAGGGAAAGGAAGGAGGGAATAAATCTATTCAAATGGGAGATGCAGACAAAAACGAAGAGTAAAAATGACCTCGTAGGTCCCACTTCTCATCCTGTCAACCTTGAGCCCAGAGCGACGGATTTTAAAGGTTCAGAAATCTTCGTTTTTGCGTAAAGAGGGTATGTGGCTCCTTCTGGATGTGGCTCAGTCTCGGGGACCCTCTTTCTACTCTGGACACCAAGAGAAGGACAGGGCTGAAACCCGGGTATCAGATTCCATCACTGCAGTGGGGTTTGAAACAGTGTCATCTTCTAGCAGGACTCGTGGGTCCCCTACATGATTAGCACCTGTTCATGGCACACACCATTGAGAACACAGATATCTACTCATGTGTAGGTCCAGCGTGATTTATTTTAATGTTTAGATGAAAATAATACAATTATCTATAAGAAGAAATTTTAATAGTTTTTTCTTGCACTCTACTTTGGAGAATACACCTTTATGTAATTTTCCACTTATTTGGCATTTTGAAATGCTAGCCACCTTTATTTGCGTTTTCAAGCGACCCGAGGGGAAGAACAGAAAGCAGCTAAAATAGCTAAACACCTGAGCTTGTTCATACAGCTCTTTCTCAGGTTCATGCTTCTGTGCCAGTTGGTTCAATCTGGACAGAACCCTGGGAAATGAGCAAACCTACAGAATAATTCCTCTGTGTTGTGCTTCATGGTTCAGAGTAGCTATTTTCAACTGGTATCACAGAGAGCTGCTACTTGCAACTGTTAAATTACATAGGAATTTGCCTTCACACTGTTTATTGAAGAAATGCTAGAGCACATTAAGTGACATTTTATTGTGCTTATATACTTTTCAAATGCAGCTGCAATGCCTTTATTAGAGTAAACAAATTAATACAGATTTTACAATATACAAACATTTAAAATATCTTTTATATTTTCAAATAATCTGAGCACAAGATAAATAAGTTTACTTTGGTGTTTGGGAAAAGAAACAGTAGCTAAAATATAAATAGAAAAATTCTCAAAGTAGAAAGCATTTATAATTGAAGTTATGAAATCTGGAAAATTATAAAAATCCATGAGTCATAAAATACATGCTTCACAGGGTAATTTTAAGAAATAAGAAAATCTAATCTACTTATTTGAGAAAACGAGCACTTAATTTCCTTTGGGTTCTCCCTTTTCCATACAGGAGAATTAAAAATCTCTGAGCATTATCTGTTATACATCTCCCCTAGTGTTTAGTTCTTGGATTTATGGTCTATTCAACTACTGATTGCATTAAATAACAATGTTAATTCTCAGTAGCTATTAGGTAAAATTAGCTAAATTATTTGAAATCTCCTTATCATGATAAAAATGCAATTTAAAATACCTTTGTTACTTTTTGGCAAGGGAACATCATCATTATAATCACCACCTCCTAAAGATAGTATTTATTACTTTTGTATAGAATAGTATTATGAGACCCATCTTTAGAAAGTATAATATAAGGCCATAAGGGTGGAAATCATTTTCAGCTTTCCCCAGCCACATAGATTACCACTGAGAGATAAGATTTGCGTCATAAACAAGTGTATGCGTCCCTCCACAGACAGTTACTTATTAGCTGTATTTTGAAAAAATATTTTTCTTTTCAAAACACACTGAAAGAGTGAACTATGGATTTTCCCATTTTTTTCCTACTAATCTTCATGCTAGGGTAAAGCGTATTTTCTAAGCATATTTTAATAAACATGTATGTGTATGTGTAGATGTGTTCAAGATATTGACTTAGAGGAAAAATAACTTTTCTAAAGCACAGATTCCAAAGGGTATAATTAAAATTTTAAAATTTAAAGACACTTTAGGCTTATTTTAATATTTCAGACTGAAAAAAAAATGAGGTGGTGGTGATTGGGAAGATACTCATTTGGCTGTTCGGAGAGATGTGTCTGGGTGCCGGGACCCCTCAAGTACAGCAGCAGCTGCGCCTGTAGATGATCCAGGGCCTGTTCCAAGAAGCGCCTGGCTGGAAGAGGGAAATTCGTGTTTCCTGACTACCTGCGCCAAATGCAGGGAAAGCATTGTCAAGACCCTGCGATGCTTCTCTTTGAGTTTGCCACGGATGCTGTGGGTAAAGCTTTCCAATAAACAAAGGGTAATGAAACTGAGATGCTAGAATATAATAATCATTTTCTAACTCTGCTGCCTTTAGAACCTTACAGTCGTTCCAGAAACTACACAATGCATGGGGCTTCCAATTTTTATTTTCCTAGGACTTGAAACATAACCCTTTCTAGCCAAGGCTGTATTTCTGAGATGGAAGGAATTTTTATTTCCTGGAAACTTAATAAACAAGTGACAACCATAATAGGAAAGTTGTTTAATTCATCATCAATGGACATATTTTGGACATAAATAGTAATGATTTCAGGAAAACATAAAAATAAAACCTACATGCCTAATTTCTTAGGAGAAACAGGTTAATCAAATAAAATTTGAGGGCAATGAAAATTAAAGAGACATGAAGCGAGGCTTTAATTATAGGCAGAGTTAGGAGTTACACGCTTAGGAAAGGTACTGGGAAGCTTCCGGTCATAAAACGCCTCCTCATCTTTGCCACACTGCTGTGATTCCATGACACAGAGCTCTTACTTTATTGATTTCTACCAAAAATCTATTTGTAATTCTCCTATCGTTCTTTTCCCATGGTTAAAATATCTGAGTGCTTTTAAGATTACCTTACGATTTGTGTTAAATACATGATTGGAATCCAGGACTCTTGCCTGCCAGTCAAGTGCTATTTACCTGATAAATAATCTTTCTCAAATAGGATTTTTAATTCAATACTAACCTTAAAAATAAATAGGTCATCAATCATTTTAATTCCCTTATTTCTGTCTACAGTTGAGGCCAGCTAGCTTAACTTTATCTTGGAGGAAAATAGATCTGAATGTCATGCATTTGTCCATGGGAGGTCAGGAAGTGTGGTGTAAGGGACTTTCCATAGAACTTTGCACAGCAAAAATGGTGAGCACATTGCGCAATTACCTAGCATGCAGTAGTGTAGGAATACCGCAAATCACCAAAACCATGCCCTTGAATTTAGACACAATAAATGTTGGCAAAATAATGTTATATAGATTAGTGTGGTTAGTGTTGGTCTTACTGGCTTTGTTTGTTAATTTGCATATGTTGTTTCATGGCAATATTAAACCTTTTTTGCATATCTAAGATCTTCAAAAATTCAACTTTTAAAGATAAAGCATTACTTAAACTCTCAAGTTTAACAAACTCTGTTCTTTACCACGCTGAGACAGCTACTATCAACCCCACTCCCATTTGCAATCAGAATAACTGCTGCTGCTGGTGTGTGTGTGTGTGTGTGTGTGTGTGTGTGTGTGTGCGCGCGCACACACACGCATTTGTAACAGCTCCAAATACAGAGAACCTAATCAAATATATAGGAACTTAATTAGCAGCCAAGGACTACTATCCTTAGAGTGAAAACTTGTAAGTAATCAGGTACTTTCACATATTGGGTTTGCGTCAGAACCCAATGTTTCCATAAATTATTCGTTTCTGAGTAACCTGAACAATTTCATAGATGCCTAATTTCTAAAAGTTCCAAAGACTAGAAAGAAATTATATTGATTTACTGTGTTTTGTCACTTCAGGCAGAAGTAGGATTGGACCATGGGATACACTCCAGAGCCTGTCTGTGGACTCTGTTTCACAGACTTGAAAGATTCTTAGTTCGAAAGCCAGCCTCTAGAAGACTGTCGCATCACTGAAGTAACTGTGCCACTGAGTTCTAAAAAGGCATAAATGAGGTACTTGCTGTGAAGCTCTACAAGGCAGTTTTCCAGGCTCCTTCCTTCACCCTCACACCCTAGTTGTATCTCAAATCACTGAAACTGGAGGAAGCTGCATCAGTAGTCATTACCTAACAGGCTACCTGTTTTAGTTACTTTTTACTCATCACCGAGACAAAATACCTGATGCCCAAAGTTGGGGAAGGAAATGTTTATTTCTTACAGTTCTTGGAGGTTTCAGTCCATACTCAGTTGGCTCCAAGGCAGGGTGGCATGGCGGGCAGCAGTTCATGGAGGTTGCAAACAGCAAGGCAGAAACCTGCAAGAGAGAGAGACACGCCTTCTTCCTGCCATTACATTACATCCTGGCTTCACCCTTAGGCCTGTGTGGCACTGACACCATCAATCCAAGCTCTAGACAATGAACCAATCACAAATGCACAATGCACATGAGGCCTGGCACTACCCAAACCATGACACTACCCAAAATTTAATGATCCATTGCCATGATGCTGAAGTTCACTATGCAATTACTCTCCTCCATATAGTTTGACTGGATTGCTTGTACCTTTGCATTCAACTGGTGACTGGGCAGAATACCTCTGTTCTCTTCCATGTGGCCCCAGGGGAATAATCTAGATTTTCATAAAGCAAGGTACTTGTATCTCTAAAGGAGGTGTGCCAAAAGAACAAGTTCCCATGTACATGTGCGTATCCAACTTCTGGTTGTATCACACATCCTAGGGTTTATGCAATTCATATGGCCAGACCCATGAGCCATGTGGGAGGGCCTGCAAAAGTATATAAATACAAGGAGTTGTGATTAACTGGGGGCTACTGTGCAATGTAATAGTCTAATAATTTAAAAGAAGAATCAAGTTATTTATTAGTTTGCAATTTTTCAACATATTTTCAGTAAATAGTATGTGATTAATACTTTGTTAGGTATTAAGTCTTAGAAGATGCTCTTTATTAATATGAAAGAAAAGCTATACATACACAAATCTATAATGTGATCTTTCTCTTTAATGAGAGCTATGAGAATTTGAAATGGCTCAAGAGCAGTCCCACTGATTCTTTTCAACTTCCAAAACAAATTTTGGTTCACAACAAGTGACACATGAAATGACCTTGAGGATGGACAGGGATCCGGTGTGGACATGCAAAGTTTAATGTGTTAGAAAAAGTTAATGTCAATATGGATCAAGAAGTCTGCAAAAGCAAGCCAGATAATTAAAGCAATTAATGCCAAGTATCATCATTTTAGTCACCTAATTTTTAAACATGACTGTTCCCTTTGCTTATTATTTGCACAATAAAAATCAAGTCTTCCATATACTTGGTATATTAGCCCCCTATTTAAGGGCTTTAATCACCAGTTTTGAAACTCAGGAGTTTCATACCTGATGCCAAGAAAAGGAACAATCACTGGGAGGAGGTAAATATCAAAGTAGCTGTCATAGTCAACCTTAAGCGAGAATTTGGAAAAACGTGAATTTTGGCACGATGTAGAGAAGAATATTGCAGGTGTAAAAAAGAACATTTCAAACAACTTCAGTTGAATTTTCTCCGGGGAGCAGACTAAAGCCATTCATAAAGAGATTTGATTGGGATCATTTTGATGGTTTGGCAATACAGTTCCTTTTATCTTATATATAATCATAATGCTTGACCATTTATCTACCAATTGACAAAATGATTAGGACAACTGCAGTGATTACAGTGATTGATATAAGCACTCATTGGTTCAATTCTTGATTGGATCAGATGGCTCTTTCCGCACATAATGTGTACATTATGTGACCTCGTAATTGGAAGATTCAAAATTCTGTGGCTGATAATATTCAATAGGGCTCTCCACACAGAAATAAACACAGGTAAGACCATAACTTTTAAAAATGTAATATAGGTGATAATTTAAGAAGCAGAGTTTTATAGTAAGACATAGATAACTTTCAATTTTTCTTATGAATGAAAATGTTGACTAAACATAGTGAATCATTATTGGTATGGTTAACATGGTAGTCATAAATAAAAGTGAGACTGGGGAGTTTCAAACAAGGCCATTCTTTGAGAATGTTTCTGCCGCAGATTGCTCCCAATCTCGAGATGTATCTGCCCAGAACTAAATCATGCTTGTATTAATCCTAGTCTAATACCAAATACCTAATACCAAAACTGGCATCCTGTGCACTTCCAGACGGAGAAACGCATATAAAGCGATGCTGGCCTTCCCTACAAGACTAATTTCCTTTTAAGTTTTAAGCTCAGTGTATTCTTTCTCCAACATTGGTGCAAGCAGCTGTGAGGCCAAGTCCTCCGGCTCTCCTCTCCGGGAACTTTCCACCTTGCTGGTGCTAGTCTGGCTGTCTGTCGTGTGTCACTGCTTTCTTGCACGAGTGAGCGACGTCAGGTCCCCGGGTGTGGTGGAGGCGATTCCCAGCGCCCTTCCCTGGTCCCACATCACTTATATTGAGATTTTTCAAAGTAAACCAAGTTAAGCCTAACACTTTGGCTGAGTCCAGGCTGCCAGTGAGCTTGGGAGAGGGGAGCTGGGCGGGAGGGACAGCAAGGTGACAGCGCGGGGCACCCCCTGTCGGGAAGGAGCTGGTGGCGGAGCAGGGTCTCCTCCCCTTCCAGCCACCGCACCTCAGCCCGAGATCCGGGTTTCATTTTACTTCTGTGTATTATTAAATAAACAAAATCCACCACCGCACTCCCTGCACCAACCACCCGACTGTCTTGACTTTCTTTAAAAGCAGCTGCTCGGGAAAAGCGGGCAAAACTGGGGCGGAGAGGAGACAAATAAATAAATAAAAGCCGCGCGCGGGGGAAGGGAGCGCGGGGAGAGCGGGAGCGCCCGGGACGCGCGGCGGCGGCGGGTTCAATTAGCTAAACAAAGAAATCATGGCGGCTGTTTACGCGGCGCGGCGCGGCGGGCCCCGAGGAGCGGCGGAGCGGCCCCGCGCCCTGGCCGGTAAGTGACGCGGGCGGCGCGCCCTGCCCCGCCCCGCCCCGCCCCTGCCCGCGCGGCCGGGCCCCGCGCCCGCCGGCTCCGGCCGCCGCCCCGCGGCCTCGGAGGGCGGGCAGGCGGGCGGAGGGCGGCGAGGGGGCCCGCGCGGCGCGGCGCGGCGCGGCGCGGCGCATCGCCTCGGGTCGGGCCCTCCGCGGCCGCGCGCCCGCCCGCAGCCCGCCGCCCGCGCCGCCTCCTCCCGACCGGCCCGCGCGCCGCAGGCGGGAGGTGGGGCCGGCGGTGACCCGCGGGAGCGCGGCGCGGGGCGGGAGCTCGGCGACTCCGCGCCCCTCTCGGCCCCGAGCCCGGATGCCGGAGCGCGCCCCCCGGCCTCGGCCCTCTCCGGCTGGCGCCGCCTCCTGCGCGGGGCGATCCCCGACGGCCTGGCGGGCGGGAACCGCGCGGAGGGCGCCCCGCTGGCCGACCTGCCCCCTCCGACCCTCCCTTAGCCCGGCGCCCGCTCTTCCCCGTGCACCGTTTTCCTCCTTAGGGTGTGCGCTTTTTCCTCCGAGAGGCTGACAAGTGTCTTTGTGCTAAGGTTGGTGCCGCAGGAGTAGGAGGTTGCTAATGACAGGGGAAGAAAACAAAGGCAAAAAAGTGGGGGTGGGGAGTAGAAGGCACCCGCCACAGAGGGGTTCTCAGTGTTCCTAGAAAAGATGGTGCCCTTTGGGGACTCAGGCCTCACAGGCATCAACGGATAGTGTGCCTTTATATAGAAAAAAAGCTTTCTTGGGTCCTTCAAATGAACCTCGGTTTTCCTTCCAATAAAACTTTTTAAAAAAAATGTTTAGTGCATTCATCAGTTTGCTTTTTCTCTCTTGTTTTCCCTTTCCAGAACCTTAGTTGGTATCTTACCGACTATGTCCAATTTAAGGAAAAGCCACAGCCAAGGACTGACAGTTGGACAGAACAGGAAGGGGGTTGGTGGCATTTAAGCAGCCTTGGCTGGGGACCAGGACATCAGAACCAAGTCCAGTTGTATCTCTTTGCATCCTTTTGAGTCTCCACACCACACTGCTGACAGGTTGTTAATTAACACTGTAGATCATAGTATGGCGAATTGCTTCATCATCTGAGAAAAAATGCTGATTTTAAAAAGCCTCATCATAGCAGTCATACAAATATGGTTCATGAAAACGAGTTCTTTGTTCATAATTTTTATTATACCTGTGGAACATCACCTGGCATAAAACGTACTTTTACCCCCCTTCCCTTACAAAAAATAGGTGCACTTTTTGTTACTAACCAAGGCTACTTTTCATTCAGTTCACTACGTCCTCAATCAAGAAAGCCTGACTTTGCAGTTATTATTTGCCATGTATAGTTTTTCACCTTACCATCCCATTACTCATCTGGACGTCCCCCTTTGGATTTCCAAAAAGAACGTTGACTTTCAGAGAACAGGATAGGAATGAGAGTAGGTGACAAGCCTTCGCTAACTCAAGACCCCAGGACTTGCTACGAGACAGAAGCTCCCACGGAAGATTGTACATGTTTATTTTCACAGTTGTATGCACATGAGAAAAAGCTGGAGCTTCCAAAGAGCGTCTACCCAGACACTTCCCTGACTAGTTAGCTTGAGATTCCATTACTCCTAGCCCTTGGTACACACTCATAAATGAATTTTATGTTGAATCCCTGCCCATGACAGGTCAGAGGCCATAATCAAGGGATAAAGAGAATTGGCTTCCACAGTGACTTTAACAGAAACAGATAGATTGGCCTTTGGGTTATAGATCTTGCTGACCCATTAAGGGTCAGTAAATTAGTAGACTGTGTTTGAGTTGACACTTCTGATCTCAACTTAATGGGTTGATTAACTTATGCCTGCTATCTTCATTATGGGCTATTAGCACATTATTAAACCTAGTTTTAGAATAAAAGATTGTTTTTTATGTTTACTTTTTGGGTTCCAAGGTAATCAATATTTATCATGGGCCTTAATTTCTTTTTTTAACTGGAAAAAAGTCAGTGATTAGTCAGACCATTCTATAGAGAAAAGCATTCAATACTATATATCTGAATTTAGGAAATCAAATATCTGGCTGAAGAATTTTCCAACATACACAAGGTACGCAATTAGAAACACTACCTCAGATGGAAAAGTACACATATTTAGGATTTAAAATCAACATCCTCATTGGTAGCTAGGACTCTATCCCTGTTAGCCATCTATGTGCATTTGAGTGACAGTCAGATTTAATACGTGATACACTGTTGGGCATGGTGATGCTTTGTGTAACTTGGCAACTGCGAATAGTCAAGGTTTAGATCTGACTACCAAGCAGTGTGAATTTTAGGCCCCAGTGAGGCCCACATTTGTGATCAACATGTGAGAAACCAGTCTCTTGCTGCGTTATGACATCTCTGAAGTATTTGCTCTTTCTCGAAGTTCATAGCACATTCCAAGCTGGTTGTAATCCTGGTTGTTGGGGAATAATAAGTAACTACTCTTTTATCTCACCATTGGCTAATCAGTATGCCAATAATGATGGGCAAACTGCTAAAGAGTCTTGCAAAGTCTAGAAAAGCAGTCCTATGATAGATACATATTGTATACATTGCTTCAGTTGGAACTTCATTCTAGATTCTGTTGTCTTGTCACCTACTCCTCTCAAAAAGAGCAGTAATTTCAGGTAGAAGTTTTGAATTGAGTAGTTGGCAAACATTCATTAAAATAAAAACTACAAAAATGCCATCAAATCCAATAATTGTTCTACAGAAAAATATAAGGAAAATTAGGACTTTTTTATATCTTTAAAACCAGGGCTAAGGGTGTTAAGGAAGCCTGATGATTCAAAAGCAGGAGAATAGTCCTCCAAATCATGAGAGGCCACTCAATTTGTCAGAGGAGATGACTGATGACCCTACTCCATGAATTAAGATCCGTGGGCTGATGACCTTAGGGTGGGTAACACTGACCCGGGGCTGAGAAGCAGGCGACATTGGGGACAGGGGAGAAGAAGATAAGGAGGCTCATGTAGGTAATTTTAAGTAAGAATATCTTGGGCTAATGTTTTAAGGATCCTGTAATCGGCAAATCCTCGGTTCATAGAACCGAGTCTCCGAGATGACAGGATCTTCCTAGAAAATTAAAATAGCATTAAGTACATTAAAAACTAGCAAATAAAAGCTGCAGAAAGCAGCTGCCTTCAAGAAGTAGCCCTGCTTTTCAGCACTAAAAGCCTAACCCAACAGGTAATCCTCTTCAGTCATCTTTCGTGCATTCAGGGACACAGGCTGCGGAACTGTGATCTGGCAAGGCAGGTGTCTCCAGGCTCTAGGGGACACAGATTATTTTTGGTTATAAAGTGTTTGAGCCCATTCTAACTTGAAATGCAGTGGTCTTCGCACATGCTTTCTCCCTTGTTTCATGTTCTTAAGCCATGCCAGAATGCTTTTGTAACCGTATATCCCTTCTACAAACTATCTTGATATTTAGGGGCCATATTTTTCTTTCGGGGTAGGGATAAGAGTGGGTTTGCTGGCCTCTCTGCAAAGTTAGAGGATGTGCTGTAAGCAGACCTCTCTTAAACACCTGACCACAGTTCACCGGAAAGCCAACTCCGGGGGCTGAACTGAATCTGCAATCCATAAATAGATCATTGGTTTTTTTGGTTAATGTACGAAGTTTAAATGTGAACTGAATTATTTAAACTTTGTCTTAGTAAAACTTATTTTATTAGATGTATGTTTGTTGTGAGATAAGGAGTAAAAGCAAAGCATTTGTCTTACTGGTTGGTGATTTGGAGATAACTGGACATTAAAAAAGTTTTTGCTTTAATTAAAAATATGACTTCTGGTTAACTGGGGCTCTGTGGTATGTTGCGTGCCTGGAACTGGGTAAGAGACCGTCAGGGACTTTGAAAATGAAAGTGGGTCAGGAAAACAGTTCCTCTCCCTGTCTTTACTGCTGCCCACCTCTGGAGCAGCAGCAGTAGAAACACTGTGGTCCCAGAGCACAGCTTACCCAGTGGGTTTCTGCACCAAGAGAAGGAGCAGCGTCCTCATCAGCGTTGGGTTCCCAGAGGCGGTGGCAGGTAGCTCTGTGGCCGTCAGTACAACAACCTGTGGGAGCAGAATCTTGGGCAGGGCTGGAGTTAGCAGAACTTTGCTGAGACCAAGGCCCTAAACGTGGCTGCAATTGGGCTCCAATAATATAAGGATACAAAATAATAAATAGGAAGATGACTCTGAAAGATAGGCGAAATATATGAGAAGCAAGCTAAGTAGAGTAATGGGCACATGGGCTTTGCAGTACTCCCAAGCCCTTTGTGGACAGGGAGTAAACTCAACGCTCTTATCCTCTTATCCAATTAAACTCCACCGGTGCTTAGAAACTTAATTTTTTTTTTATTGGTACCAGGGATCGAACTCACGACTGCGTGCTTGAAAGGCAGGCGCTTATGCCGCTGAGCTAAATCCCCAGTCCCAGAAACTTAACTCTTTTATGTCTTTGTTGCGCATGTTTTGTGGAGAGAGGTACAGACTGAGTGAATAGATAGGAAAAGGTGGGAACTGGTAATAACCAAATAGCCAAATGAAACTGCTGAATTAGATGATATTAAAATATTCCTTATATAATATTCCACAATTATAGAGTTTGAAAGCAACAACCCTATACTCAAAATCATGTGTCTAAGATTATATATTTCCAATAATGCATTGAAAGTTACTTTAATGTCTGAGTTAACTAATCAGAATTCCTATATCATGCCCTTGTGAGTGTGTTGTCATACTTCAATGAAATTTAAAATTCAAGGATATACCCATGCAACACATTTGTCACAGAGCTATTCTTTCCAAATGAAAGCTTCTAAATATAGCCCAGCGAAAAGGGGGGTGCTGGAAAGAAACAGTGAGTTTGACTTTGGCATTGTGGTGTCAATTGTGTAGTGTCCTTTAGAACAACACATTTCTTTAATAACTTCTTAAAAGCATCACGTAAGATTTCACATGATTAA